GAGAGATGGCGAGCACCTGGTTACTACCCTTACATTACATGCCATGCATCATGCAACTCTCTGCTCTCTATTCTACTAGTTATTATTACGCGATGCACGAAACAGCACCTAGTTATTATTACGAGCTAAAAGCAAAATCTACAAAAACTGTACACACGACACGAACAACACCTAGCTGCGTCGATCATATGGCCACCTGATCGGTCTGATGACGGAACTGTCAGAACGAGTCGGACAGGAGCCAAGTCTCGAACGCCTCCAGCTCGTGTTCGTCCGGGGTGCAGGCCGCAGCAGCAGCCTGCGGCTCGGCGGCCTGCTGCAGCTCCGCGCTGTGGTCGTTCTGCTCCGGCCCGCCCCATAGATGGGCCGCGAAGCCATCCCAGTCCATGTCCATGTCGAACAGGTCGTCCACCTGGGCCTCACCGCCGACCGCGTCAAATCCTTCCAGAGGTGCGTCTATAGACATCAGGGCGTCTATCTCACTCTCGGCCTCCCAGAGGTCCCCGAGCTCTATCGGGTCCAGCTCCCACGGCCCAGTCGCGTCCTCGCTGCAGGGCCCCTCTGCCGTGCTGCTGCTGCTGCCCTTGGGCTGGTTGTTCGGATCCGGATCCACCACGACGCTTCGCGCCCCGTCGCTGTGCCGCGGGCTCGACGCTGCCGACGTCGCCGCGGTGCCCGGGCTAGACGACGAGCCTTTCGCGTCGCCAGACTCCGGTTCAGGCTCAGGGCCCGGCTGCTTGCTCTTGTTGGTCTTGGTGGTGGTGGTGGTGGTGGCGCTCTTCGGCGACCGGCCCGGGGTCCTGCCGCCGCGCCGCTTGTCGGCGCTTTGCAGCTTGCTCATGTCGATGGTGACGGTGGTGTCCGGCCCGGCGGTGTATTTCCGGCGGTACGTGTGGATCTGCCGGCTGAGGTGCGAGTTCCAGTAGTTCTTGATCTCGTTGTCTGTTCGGCCGGGGAGGTGGCTGGAGATCAGGGACCACCTGCATGCAGAGCAAATACGTAATTAAATCGCAAGGACGATGCTGGTGAGTGAATGAACTGCTTGTTACACGCACGGCACAGCAAAAAGGACAACCGAGGACAGCATACTGCAGGAGAAGCGAAGGCGACATTTCAGCGACCTAGGGCCGTGCTTAGACTGGGGCTAGGAATTAGTATTTGGCACTGTAGTACTTTCGTTTGTATTTGATAATTATTGTCTTTAAAAAATTTGTTTCGTAATTTACAATTAAATTGTGTAATTAGTTATTTTTTTTATCTATATTTAATACTCCATGCATATGTTAAAGATTTAATGTGATGAAGAAAGAGTAAAAAAACTTACAGAGATCTAAATATGGCCATAGTATATATATATATATTCCTCTTGGATGCAACTCGACAATTTTGGTGCAACTCACTCATTGATCTCGCCGCTCATGACGTACTCCCTCTGTCCCGAATCAGTGGACGTTACAGGAGCCGTCACAGAGATCAATGTGCAAGCGAAAAGACTCTGACATCCCTACACCGACATCTCGCAGCTGATGCCTGACGGTGATGTCGTGAAGTGACATTTAGATGGTACGTTGGTAGAGGTCTGATGTGTTTGCTGGGTTATAACGTCAACAATTATGAGACAAATTTTAAACGTCAGAACGTCCTGTATTTTGGGACGAATGGTGTAGGCCGTTGTAATCATGTGCCTGCGTGTTTATGGCGCTATAATGTACTCGTATACATCATTTACGGAGAAGGACGACGACGGAGGGGCCGGCGATCGATGGACCGTGTACGTCGTGAGCTAGCTAGCGCAGGCTGAATGAAAAGCTCCGTATACTGTACAAAGCAGGCGCCGGTGGACCTCGCTCTCAGCGTCCGCAGCGTCAAGGTAAAGACGGGAAATCATTTCGACCGGCGTGGGCCCGCCATTATATTAATCCCACGGGGCCACGGACAGGGACATCTTAGGAGCGCGCGAACAGATGACGGCAACAGGGAAATCATTTTAGTAGCCCACGGCGTGCCGCCGGCCCGCCATTATTTTATTTGATAATAATCCCACGGGGCCACGGCGCGTAAAGATCAAACCGCGTATTAGTTTTTGATTTCGTCACCATTTAGACGGTAAGTTTGATGTGACGAGAATATTCTTTTTTCATGGTGTCAGGAAACCTTAGTGAACCAAACATGACCTGCGTCTCTTTGCACAGTACCGGCGGCGATGGCGAGCAAGGAACGGACGCCATCACGTCAACGCCACGGAGATCGATGGACGGAAAGGCGCCCCTGTGCGCGCTGCGTGTGTGCGTGCCTCAAGTAGACCGTGACCCGTCCGCACGGCAGCAGGGCCTAGTCGTCTGGCTCTGGCATGCGAGTTCGCTCTCAGTCTGTCAGCAACGGGGGACCCATATGTATATGGATACCCAAATCCAAAATGGATAGTAGAAGATTAAAATTAGCCTTCAATAGAGTATCTATACGTAGACCTATTTTAGATTCTCTGAGAGGCACAACCCAAATATAAGTATCATCTCTCCTGAAAACCCATTTACAGAAATGATTCTCTTTTGAGTCCTGTTATTGGAGATGATGTCGAATGAGTATTAAACCCTTTTTGACTATAGCGCTACTCAAATGTTGAAAAATCTTATATTTTTGGTGTTGTTGTTGGAGACCGTCTCGGAACCTGAAGAGAGTGTTGGACTAAACTGTCGCTTCGTACGTGGTCCTCTCCACTCCTTCCTCTCAGCCGCTCACGATTTGACACCTACCTAATTAAGCTGCTTCGCCAAGGCTTTGTAATTGTAAGATGGCTAGCTAGCTCCGTCCGTCCTCCATGTTTTGATGAGTGTTGCACTACCGCTCTCGCAAGACCATGTGGGATTGTGGGGAGAATAATACGCCCATCACTATGCCGCTATACTGACATGACACTACGCTGGAGTAGTATGCCCGTACGTTTATTGGTGTGCGCTGGTCTCTTCCGGCCGAGGGGACGACATGAATTGACTAGTACGTACGTAGTATTTGTGTGTGTTGCATTACTGTACTCCATGGTTCATGGCACTTGCAAAGCAATCAGGCATAGCCGCGTATATAGGCGGAGGGGAGCGCTCCTGCATCCACGTCCACGGGGGGTTATTGTTTAATTTGTTCTCTCCATGCAGTCGTGTGATAGCTAGCCGATTTTGTTAGAGGATTTCTTCAGCGCCTTCTAATTAATCTGTTTGGTTTTTTTTCTAGCTTTTTCTTCCTTTTATTTACTATACATACCGTCGTGTATGTGTATACACACACACTTTTGCCCATCTATAAGAAGAAAAAACTGTACGCGCGCTGACACTGGACTCGGTTCCTTCTGACGGGTAGATAGTAGAAATAAATGAAGTCAGGACACTGGAGATTCTCCATCCGTCCACCTTTCGTGAATTGTATTGTCAGATGGACAGATGTTGTCGACGAATCGCAAGCTTTTGTGTGCTGTTTTTTTTTGAAATGATTTTTCTGTACTATACTAGGGAAAGATATAGCTATTTACATACTACTCTCACTCTATGACTAGTATATTCTTTCCCCATTTTCAGTCAAAATCAAAGAAGTTTCTTGAAAAAAAGTTAAACAAATTTGATGTAGCAAAAAAAAAACTGCATTTTATGGAACGGAAGAAGTATATATATGTGCATGATGCTATCACAGTACTGCTTAATAGTAGCTTTCTAATCTCCCTTTAATTGTATATATATCTTTGAACACGAGAAAGTGCCTAGATCGAGCATTTCCTCGTGCTGCTGCTTATCGTCTTAGAGATGTAACGACCATATGACCCATCACGATCAGCAGGTTATATATATAGATCTAACTTGTTTTTAGCCCTTAATACCACATTATGCGAATTACGAAGCCACGAGCACGGGCGGGAATCACGCCATATTGGCATATTGCCATGCATGCGCGTGCACGTGGCCTCGGAAATCACACGCATCTGACTCTGGACAGTAATCTTCACACGCAGCACGCCCTTTTGGCTTGTGCCACACGTACGGACAACTTCAGCGACACATGCAGCGAGCCAGTGACAAGGACCGGACCAACAGTCAAGTGGAGCAGTACTGCTCAATGCCCTCTGTAGAGCAAGCGTGCGTACCCTAGAGCCCACGTGTACATATATGAACAGTACTACTGAGGCTGTTGGGCTCGAGCGGGAAGTTGCTTACTACTAGAGGGATCGGATGGCCATGTTGTTTTCAGCCATGCAGTCTTTATTTAGCCTACTATTGCTACACCCCTATTCCAGCAGCGTGTGCCCTGCCCTATTTCATAACCTCTACTTAGTACTGTGTACGTGTATGGTGTATATGGTGCAGTAGTGTCTCAACTCTCAACCGATCGGGGCAGCCATTGAAATTATAAGCAGGGGCTTTATTTATTGAAAGCAGCCCTTTATTGTCTGTGTTGATTCTTCCAGGCCCCGTTCGTTTATCTTATAATCCATCTTTTTCAGCTTGTTTTTTCAGCCAGAACAGTGTTTTTCTCTTACCACAAATCTTCGGCTTATTTTTTCAGCCGGAACAGTGTTTCGCTTTTTTTTTTCAGCGAAGCGAACGGGCCCCATTCTTCTGCCTGAGATTCTTTTTTTTCCCCAAAAATAGTTTAAAACTTGTCAGGAAGCGTGTTTAAGTAATAAGTACACATGGTACTCCCTCAATTTAAGGAAACTCGCTCAATCAACTATAGATTTATAAATAATATCAACAGTTGTATATTCAACAAGCTAAGTAAGTTTATTATAAAATATATTTCATAATACACATTGTAATTATTACTTCTATTTTTATATATTTGATCAAACTTGATACTGTTCAACCAGGTTTCCATTCTTTGTGTAAAGGAGGAAGCTAAGTACCAAGCTTTTCGGGATCACTGGCATACGTGGCGTGCATTTACACCCCTTGTTGTGTATGGAGGAAGTATTTTCTAGTCGGAGGATGCACACTCGCTCTCAGTGTTGATTAGTTTACCTGTTGCCGAGGGTGGCGTGGAGCTTGATGATGATGTCCTCTTCCTCCTTGGAGATGTTCCCCCTCTTGACGTCCGCCCGAAGGTAGTTGATCCACCGCAGCCGGCAGCTCTTGCCGCACCGGAGCAGCCCTGCACACCGTACCACCAGCAGGAGAAATTAACAAGGTACGGCGGCGGGCTAATCATATCATTTGCTAGTGCTGCGGCGCCTCTAGCTAGTATATATTGTGGTTATATGTTCTGGCTGGTAGACTAAAGCTAGCTAAGGACGACGAACAAGGTGGATCGGAGTTGCAAGATAGAGCTGGTAAGTGATGATGCGTGCGTGCGTCGATTGTGTAGCTTGCAGTATAGTTGGTTACCTGCATTCTTGGGCAGCGACCTCCAGGATCCCTCGCCGTGCTCTGCAATGTAGTTGGCGAGTATCTGGTCCTCCTCCGCCGTCCACCTCCCCCGCTTGAGCCCCACCTTCTCGCAGCACGGCGCCCTCCCCATCGCGCGCCGGCGCCGGCCGGATCGATCGGATTCCCCCAACGACGTCTGCCCTCGCCCGCAGCTAGCTAGCGTGGTCACGTTCCCCGCCCCGGCCGCTGATCACACCGTAGTACCTGGTACCGCCGATCGAGCGAGACCCCAGCGGCGTACTCGCGGAGCTGCCGAGTGCCCACTATCACTCGCACTAGCTAGCTCCCACACTACTGCGCACGGTTAGCAGGTCGCGTGCGTCCAAGGGAGTTGGTGTCCGTGCGGGCGGGCCGGGTGACCCGGCCGCGCTCGCTCGCTCCTTGCCGCGCGGAAGGGCGCCGGACACACGCTCTCAGCTCGCAGTGTGTGTGTGTGTGCTGGCTAGCGAGGCCACGCCACGGCCGCCCATAATATAGCAGCGCCGCGCGGGGGGCGTGCGGGCTCGCGGGTCGCGTGTGCACCCAGACGGAACGGAGTACGCTAGTGCTTCGGTCCGTTATGACGTGGGGGAACGGTAAGTGGGGAGCGAGCGAGTATCTCGCGGGCCGCGGGGCCGGCGCGGCGCGGCAGCCGTACGTGTGGCTGCTGGCGCGGGCACGTGGGCGCCGTGGCGTGAGGCCGCGCCTGATGCGGTATTTGCGTGGGAAATAAATTCGAAAATTGCCCCAACTTTTAGTGTTATTCTTTTTTTTTTTGATGAAAGTAAGAATTCTGCTACTATCAATAGTAAAAATTCAGTGACTAACAACTAGTATCAGAGCCGTACTATCCTGTACCTTGAGCATCTCCTGCTCATCTCCTTTCCCAGCCTCACAACAGCTCCAGCTGGGAGCAGCAGCAGCTTCGGCCGCTCTGCTCACTCCTCTCCCTCTGCGCAGACGAGCAGCACGTCTGAAGCAGCCCTCTCCCCACGCAGCAGCCCCCCAGTAACGCGTCATGTCCGCAGGACAGTCTCAGCGCTCGGTCGTCGGCACGTGGCGTCGGCAGGAGGCCGAACTTGCCGCGACAGAAGAACGCGAGCGAGCAGCGGCAGAGACCGCTGCAGCGGCGGCAAGGACGTCGAGGCTGGTAGCGGTAGAGCTGGCAGCAGCCAGAGCGGCGGCGGGAGCGGCGGCGGCGGCGGATGCAGCGCGTGCGGTGGCAGCCGAGGTCGAGGCTCTGCGTGGCAGCATCAGCAGCTCCGTTTCTGCTGACGACAGCGCCGACGCGGACCTCGAGCTACTAGGGAGGGAGGCAGCGCGAGCGCGGGCGGCACAATGGGCAGCCGCGCACGCCCACGAGCGCGGCGATAGCCCAGACAGGCGCGGACGCGCCGGCGGCGCTCCTGGAGGAGGCGCGCACGACAACGATGGCGGACGGGTCGATGGAGAGCGCGGCCTTGACAGGCAGCGTGGCTCTCCCTCCCCGGATCAGTACCGTGGTTACCACGGGCTCCAGGCTGTTGTCAGGGACGTCGGCCCCGGCGGTGGGTGGCCTACCCTCACTAAGACCAACTACGTCGAGTGGGCTGCGGTGATGAGGGTAAAGCTCCAGGTGCGGCACATGTGGGAGGCAGTCCGGTACGGCGACGTAAACTACGACCAGGATCGACGGGCGCTGGATGCCCTCATCGCTGCAGTCCCGTCCGAGATGCAGTTCTCGCTTACCAACAAGCGGACTGCCAAGGAGGCTTGGGACGCCATCGCTGCGGCACGCATCGGCAGCGACCGCGCCCGCAAGTCCACACTGCAGGCACTTCGCAAGGAGTGGGAGAACCTGGCCTTCAAGCCAGGTGAGGACGTTGATGACTTTGCTCTCCGTCTCAACACTCTGTTGCAGAAGATGGTGCAGTTCGGCGATGACACCTACGGCGAGGAGAGAGCTGTCGAAAAGCTCTTCCGCTGCGTCCCCGAGAAGTACAAGCAGATGGCTCGCTCGATCGAGTCCCTGCTAGATCTCTCCAAGATGTCGATCGAGGAGGCGATAGGTCGCCTCAAGGTCCTCGACAGCGATGAGCCACAGTCTCTCTCGGGGCCTATCACCACTGGCGGAAAGCTCCTTCTCACTTGGGAGCAGTGGGTTGCCTGCCAAGGTGACCGGAAGAAGGGAGAGCCTTCTTCCGCGACAGGCGGCTGCAAGCGTGGCAAGCCACGTAAGGCGCGCAGAGATGCCCAGGCCGAGGCGTGGGGATGTCCCGAGGGTGATGCTCGTAGAGGCGCCCAGGGTGGCGCCGCCGGCAAGCACAAGCCGGCACGAGACAACACCTGCCGTAACTGTGGCCAGCTTGGTCATTGGGCCAAGGACTATCGACAGCCACGACGTGGCCAGGCCCACGTCGCACAAGCGGAGGAGGAGGAGCCGGCTCTGTTCATGGCACATGCAAGCATCGAGCTACCTCCAGCGGGCACCGACCGCAGCGGCTCTCTTCCACCTTGACGAGCCAAAAGCACACGCCCTCCTCGGCGATGGCTCCGGCAACAACAAGACTGACGGGTGGTGCCTCGACACCGGCGCCACCCATCACATGACCGGTCGACGTGAGTTCTTAACCGAGCTTGACCCTAGCGTCCGAGGCTCCATCAAGTTTGGGGATGTCTCCGACGTGGAGATCAAGGGCGTCGGCTCCGTCATCTTCACCGCCATGTCTGGTGAGCACAGGCTGCTCACCGGAGTCTACTACATCCCCGCGTTGCGGAACTCTATCATCAGCTTGGGACAGCTGGATGAGAATGGTTCGCGCGTGGTGGTTGAGGATGGAGTCATGATGATTTGGGATCGCCGTCGTCGCCTTCTTGCCAAGGTAACCAGAAGTGGAAATTGACTCTACGTCCTTAATGTGCAGATGGCACAACCCCTCTGTCTCGCTGCTCGTCGGGATGATGAGGCGTGGCAGTGGCACGAGCGCTTCGGGCACCTTCACTTCGAGGCCCTGAAGCGGCTCAGTGCCACGGAGATGGTGCGAGGCCTGCCGTGCCTCGACCATGTGGAGCAGCTCTGCGACGTCTGTGTGTTGACGAAACAGAGGCGACTCCCCTTTCCCCAGCGGGCGAGCTTTCGAGCCAAGGAGAGGCTCGAACTTGTGCATGGAGACTTGTGTGGCCCAGTGACACCGGCCACACCGGGAGGACGACGCTACTTCCTGCTGCTCATCGACAACCTCTCCCGCTATATGTGGGTGATGGTCCTCGGTAGCAAGGGAGAGGCTGTGGATGCCATTAGGCGCGCGCAGGCTGCTGGGGAGGCGGAGTGCGGCCACAAGCTGCACGTGCTGCGCACCGACAACGGCGACGAATTCATGGCAGCAGAATTCGCGTCGTACTGTGCTGATAAGGGCATTCAGCGCCACTACTCCGAACCATACAGCCCGCAGCAGAAACGGCGTCGTCGAGCGGCACAACCAGACGGTTGTGGGGATGGCTCGGGCCCTTCTCAAGCAGAGGGGGATGCCGGCTGTCTTCTAGGGAGAGGTGGTGGTGTCGGCCATCTACATCCTCAACCGCTCGCCTACCAAGGCGCTCGATGGTAGGACGTCGTATGAGGCTTGGCATGGGCGCAAGCCGACGGTCTCCCACTTGCAGGTCTTCAGCTGCCTCACGTTCGCCAAGGAGCTTGGCCACATCAACAAGCTCGACTACAGGAGCACTCCGGGAGTGTTCATCGGCTACGTGGAGGGCTCGAAGGCCTACCGCATCCTCGACCCGAAGACACAGCGTGTGCGCACGGCGCGCGACGTTGTGTTCAACGAAGGGCGAGGATGGGCGTGGGACAAGGCGGTGGACGACGGCTCAGCTCGGACGTACGACGACTTCACTGTCGAGTACGTCCACTTTGAGGGAGCTAGGGGAGCAGGCAGCTCTTCTTCGATGAGCGCGTCTACCCCAGTCCTCGAGCCTCCACCGACCCCGGCGCCTGCTACTCCGACAGCACCACGCTCTCTAGCTAGGACCTCGGCTGCAATGAGTTCTTCATCGGCTCCACCACAGCCAGCACCGCCACGCACTCCAGCACCGACAGGCACCTCTCCGGGCACGTCTACTCCAACACCAGCTCGTGTCGAGCACAACCCGGTTGAGCTCGCTACTCCGCTCTCTCACGACGAGGAGCGCATCGACACGTACCACGATGGCGAGCCATTGTGGTACCGTACGATGGAGAACCTTCTCAGCGACCAACCAGTGCTAGGACTGTTGGCTCATGACCTGGAGGCACAGTTGCACCTTGCGTGTGACGACGGCGAGCCTCGGTCATTTATAGAGGCCGAGAGACACGCGGCATGGGGCGCCGCGATGCAGTTGGAGATGGATGCGGTTGAGAAGAACTACACCTGGGAGCTTGCTGACCTTCCTCGTGGTCACCGCGCGATCACCCTTAAGTGGGTGTATAAGCTGAAGAGGGATGAAGCCGGCGCCATCGTCAAGCACAAGGCTCGCATGGTGGCACGAGGTTTCGTGCAACAGGAGGGGGTCGACTTCGACGATGCCTTTGCTCCCGTGGCACGAATGGAGTCCGTGTGACTCCTTGTGCTAGCTGCCTAGGAGGGCTGACGTGTTCATCACATGGACATCAAGTCGGCGTTCCTTAACGGCGACTTGAAGGAGGTGGTCTACGTGCACCAGCCGCCGGGATTTGCAATCCCCGGCAAGGAGGGCAAGGTGCTCCGCCTGCGCAAGGCCCTCTATGGCTTGCGGCAGGCACCGAGAGCGTGGGCTTCGAGCAAAGCCCGCACGAGGCGGCCATCTACCGACGGGGTAGTGGAGGAAATGCTCTGCTGGTGGGTGTCTACGTCGACGACTTGGTGATAACTGGCACCAAGGATGCAGAGGTGGCGGCATTCAAGGAAGAGATGAAGGCCACCTTTTAGATGAGTGACCTAGGGCCTCTCTCCTTCTACCTGGGAATCGAGGTGCACCAGGATGACTCTAGGATCACGCTTCGACAGACCGCCTACGCTAAGCGCATTGTTGAGCTAGCTGGGCTCTCCGACTGCAACCCAGCTCTCACTCTGTTGGAGGAGAGGTTGAAGCTGAGCCGTGATAGCACGACGGAGGAGG